AGTTCGCCATTTCTATTTTTTTTTCTTTTTTTTTTGCTAATACATTCTACGCCTTTTTTTTCCTCGTAATATTAATCTTCTATGCTTCACGTCGGAATATTCTATTCGTGAAGTTCGTTAGTAGACACAGAAAACACAAAACTACATAAAGCTTTACGAGCGTTCATTTTACTTATGGCGCAAATAAGAAATAACGCCGAATCCAACTCCTTCTCCTATTCTAATTAACACGAGGAAAAAATACAAAACAAAAAACAAAAAAGATGAATAAAAAAAAGAAGTTTCTCTATAATTAAAGCGAAATAATTCAAGCATATCGTATCGCTTAAACTTACGCGGATTATGATAGAACTAGTAGCATCGAATGCATTTGCAACGCGAAGCTATTTACGTAATTACTTTCAGCCAAGCTTATCTCGTCCACATCGGCAAACACACGAGAAAGTTATAGAGCTTAAGTTAGCGAAGCAAATTATCACTAGTTCTAGTTACTGTTTCAAAACCAGAAATCACTCCGGGCAAGTATTGCAAAAAGCAAACCGACTCAACTAGAACTCAAGCCCAGCCGAAATTATTAATACGGTTTTAATTCCTGATCAGACGAGCGGAAAACGGTAACCGAGAAAAACCGGCTAATCCAATTAAACCTAAGTTCATTATCCAATGACAGTTGTATACGTGCACGCGAGCGCGTACGTCCCAAGGACACACTTCAAATACAAAGCATAACGAGCATTTTTCCTCTCATCTGCAGAAGGATGCTGGACACTCGTCTTGTGCCGCCGCCGTCGCCGCCACCGCAGTCGCTGATTTGGCTGTTGTTGCTGCTGCTGGTGTTGCTAACAGGAACGGCATTACCCGCTGTAGTTTTGCCGAGGCCTCCGTCACTGCCCAATTACATACCGATAGACTACGTCGCCTCGTCCTTCGACTCCGTCAAGAACTTTGGCGACAAAGGTCTCCATCAAAGGACCAACGTCGAGAAGCCCGAAACCCAGCAAGATTATAGGTAGGATGCCCAGCTTTCTAAATTAATGGGCTCCGATGGTTTTGTTTAACTCTAACGCCAAGCCATTTCCTTGAAATGAGTTGCTTACTTTACGGAGACAAATTAATCGAATGCCCAGCAAAGTTGCCTCGCGCTTTTCCCATCTCAAAGCATTAGCCGTGCGCGATATAACACAAAACATAACAAAAGTGCGGAAAGTGATGCATAAAATTATTACTCAATTATTTATACATCGACGTTTTTTCGAAATATATAATCCGCTTTTTTAAGGTTTAACGTGTATATTGTATACGTGTACGTGTATATTACAATAACGCGTATAATAAGAAGTACCAGATGGTATCTACAAAACAATTGTCCCCGTTCGAGCAATAAATTATAGAGAAGTACTTGCAAACATTAGACAGGCCGTCTCGACAACGAATAAGATAACTTCGCGATAATATCGATTACTTATTATTATTAATTCTTATTTTTTTTTCTTTTCCTTTTAATTGAATAAGTAATCTTTAAGAGAAAGACTCTCAATATTACCTTAAAGTTAGAAAACTACTAAGCTATCCAATACGCAACTTTCCAATACTATCGAGCCGATAAAGTGGGAAAAAAAAAAAAAAAAAAACACGTCCGCAGATTTCTGGAGATCGAAGTACGCGATGGGGAGAACGTGGAGAATTTGGACCTGCACGGGATCGTACAGGCAGTCCTGGCAAAACAACGGCAATTGCTCCCTCTAAGTGGTCGTCGCTTCGACGAGGAGGACTACAACATGACGTATCCTCCAGCGGAAATTGTGCCCCGGTCGATTGTCGGTGTGCACGAGGTCGTCCTCGGTCCCAATCAGCGCTTCTACGAGTCGGCGACCCTCGAGGCCGAGAGCGAGAGGTCCTTACAGTACCCGATGAGTTCGCCCCAGTCGGAGAAGAACTTGAGTGACGAGAAGCTCTATTACCTGAAGAACGGCAGGCCCAAGGTGTACGTGAATTTCCGCGGCAAGAGCGGCAATTTCCGGCAGCAGGATACCCCGACCGGTGCCGACTCACGGTTTACCCTGAGGCTCGAGCCATCAACTTTTTTAAAAGCCACCCAGCCTTACCACACGGTAAGTCGCGAGAGAATTATTATTTTATCCTATTGGTCGGACGGACTTGATTTTATCAAAGGAAATCTTTAATGCGCCATGAGGTTTTCTTCCATTTCATTTGCGCAATGTTGCCATTATATTTCGTTGCTAATATTTGATTGTTAGAACTACTTCTATGATATCGTTTTGATAATTTTAACGCTATTTGCAATCCGAGCTGATATTGTATTTCTGCATGAAATGCTCGTGAGGCATTATTTAGAAAAGAAATTTTCAACGCATTGCAAATAAATAATCTTCAATTTAAAAAGTTATCTTGATTTATTTAACCTCGGCAATACAATATTAATAAGCTCTAAATAATATAATACTTCTCGTCTTGTCTGAATAATAATACTTCTCGTAAGCCATTTTAACTTTAACACTTTATTAATATATGAAATACGCGTTAAAGTATAAGAATATTTTATCTGCATCTTAAAAACAAGCTGACAACACAATAGATTTTAAAGTCTGTTTTATTGCGACAGTAAAAATTCAAAATCAAACTTAATAAATAAAATAGGCATTCGAGATATTATTAATTGTAATTGTTGCATTAACTCTAATGGTGATCATTTGAGTTTGGGAGTAAAATTTTTATATGAAAGGTATTAACTTGTAATTAAATTAATTAACTTGTCCCTTCAAACTTTATCGAATCCCATGAAATATCGATAGATTGAAAAATCTGCTTCGAAAGCTCGATACAAAAACCATTATAATATTAAATTGAACGAGCGTAATTCTAATTTCTTACTTTCCATTCAATATAACTCGACGATGCTCTCTAAATAACGATTTTAATCTACAAAAAGAAGAAATAAAAAAAAAAAAAAAAAAATGTCGAAAAAGATGTAAATTTCAGTATCTGCTTTTAAATTTTGTACAATTATAAGCACTGACTTTCACACATATAAATCTTAAAAAAATTTCACGTACTATTGTTAAACATTGATAATTATTATTTTGTTTTCTTTCGTTCGCGCTATTATGTATACAAAAATATCGCAACTTTAGAAGAATATTAAAAACTTAGCAAAATCTAATTTTAGGCCGAGACGCGAGCAACGAGCCCGGCGAATGAAATTCGAGGATTAATTTCCTGATGAATTCGGCCTTTTATTATCATAATTATAGCAGAATTTTAAAGCGCTTAACACAAGCCTTGCAACTTTCAGGAGAAAAAGACAAAGTCATCAAAGTCGACCCCGAAGAAATACGACGCGCGCATCCACGGCTCGACGACAGAGCACGCGATGGTGACGTCGAGCGAGCTGCCGAAGCAAATACCCGCGCCTCCGAGCAGATTACCCGCGCTTCCTCTCATCGTCCAGACGACGCCCGTCCAACGATACAACGCCCGGAGAACGGACATATTGCCCGATGACTCCATCTCCGAGGCCTGACGGGCCTCATCCCGACCGAGGGACGATCGGCTCGCGACTACTGGCCAAACGACTCTCATTAGCCTAATGTCCAGCTGCGACTGGCGACGATCCCATCGCCGATGTTGACGCAACAATTCGTTTTTATAATGAACGGACGTGTATTTGCGGTTACACTGTGAATCCGTAATTTCGCGAGCCCACCAATATATATATTGTGTACATATAATGCGTATGCGGGCGTAATTGAGAGTGTCGCTATGTGGGAGAATTCGTTACGTTTTCCAAGGTTCTTAATGCTTGGTTGAATAAGCTTGAAAGTGACAATTCGCTCTTATCTAATGGGAATTCGTCCGACTACTCGACCGTCACTCATCCCAATTTATCGCAAACTGTCCCTCAACATCGCCCTTTATAGCCGAACATTGTTATTTCGAATGTTAGGTCATATAAATAATTAATAGAATTGGGAAATGTAAATCCATTGATTTATTAGACGGAAATTGCCAAACAAATTTTTTTTTCTTTCCTTCTCTCTTTTAATCGATTTAAATGCGGCAAATCTTAATCTGCATACATTGTGCTCGAAACTTATTGTTCGTGTTAAACTATATAAGAATAATTATTTTGTACCGTGATTTAACATTTTCATTAATTTAACTTTTCGATACTCAAGATTCTAAGAAATTAATTGAGATGTTACCAAAATAGTTATTTAAATATATACATATATATATTTAAACATTTGCGTGTGACATATACGAAAAAGCATTACGGTAGCGATACATTTTTAATTATAATTATGAATCTAATAGGAAATGAATTCGCAATTATTATCGTTTACTTTTATAAAAGCAATATTAATTTCTCATATTTGAGATAAACTTATTTTCTACTGCACATAAAGTGAATGTGTACTTACAATTTATATAATTTTAGAAAAAATATAATAAGAGATTAAGATTTTTAGAAAGTTGAGTATATGCTGGGAATGTATTGGTCTAGAAGTTCTTGTTTTTCAATAAATTATACGAATAATTTACTTGAACGATAATTACACGACTAAATAATGTCATCATTTTTTTTTTTTTTTTTTTTTTTTTTTTTTTAATGCCTATTTATCATTAAAGATCTTTCTAAAAATCTAAAAATCTTTATCACATTTTCCAACAAAGTATTCGATTTATTATTACAGATATTTAAATTTAAATTTAAAAAGTATATATTGTATGAAATATATTTTTAGAGAATTGTAAACTAAATCATAATTGTCTATTCTAATATATTATAAATCTAATAATCCAGTATTAGCTTTATTCGCTCAAGTACGTTGAGACAATTTACGACGGTGCTTTATGTTCAATTATTTTTGACAATAAAACAATAATTTTAGACTATAGAAAGGGAGCCAATATTACACAATTACGAATGCCGTGCAATTACGAATTTATTTCTTAAAAGATTCAAGTTCATTACGATTGCCAATGTAAATAAAAAAAAAAAAAAAAAAACTAAAAAAAAAACAAAAAAACGTACCTACATCTTACATATTTTTCCAAAATTTACATAAATAAATTTTTGTAAACATACAAAACACTAAATGAAACATTAAATCTGCACAACAGAATTAAATGTTTAAGTATACGCTACAATGAATTGTAGTTTACCATAAATATTCAGAAGAAAAATATGTTATATTATCAAAGATTACTTACACTTGAAATTTGTTAATTTTTTTTTTCAATATTTTATTATTATTATTATTATTATTATTATTATTATTATTATTATTACTATTGTCATAATTATTATTGTATGTGCACATTATTGAATTTTAAATTATATTTATATATTTGCTATTAAAGTAAGAATTCATGTGTATGGCATCTACAATAAATTGAGAAATGAAATAAACAGTACTTATTTTTAAAAATATTATAATGCATTGCAATATCGATGATATTCAATTACTATATGACTGAACATTTTTAAATTGATGATTTTCCAAATGATATATTTCAGAACAACGATAGAACTTCAGTGCGTCAGTTGATTGATATTAGAATTCTGTCTCATAGTTGCTTGGAACAACAGATGTTTTTGGCTATGATGCTAACATACATTTATTTTATCCATGTTAATAAAAATATATCCCCATATGAAAACTAAGGATATAATTTAGAATGGCTTATGTGTGGTTGTATTGGAGAAAAATTTATTATATCTAATGCCGTGTAAAAGTACGAAAATAGATTATTATCGATTACATTATGCTATCAAAATAAAATTTAAATAATTTTTAAATTATTTCATTTTTTGCTTATTTACATGGTAATCAATTATTTTATTTGATAATGTTATTGCCCCAAAAAGGAATAGATTTTAATTAGTTTTGAAAAAATATTGAATCTCAAATTTGAATACTTTTTTTTTTTAAGCATTTTTACAGTAATTACAATACAATTCGCAACATTATTTTAATAATTGCAGTATCGCCTGGAAGTAATTATAGTCCGTGAAAAATAACTAACTTACCTGTTCTGCTTTCAACGTCAACTCAATGAATATTTGTTGAAGTTTTTCATTAACAAAATTTATACAAAATTGTTCAAAGCCATTTTTGTTGAATATTTCGAATCCATAGATATCTAAAATTCCAATTTCAAATTCTTCTTGAGTAGTTTCCATAGCTGCATTAATTCTCTGAAAAATGATAATTAATACATGAATAATAATTATTATACTGATACAACATAATTCACAAAAATATTATAAGTTGTTTTAAATATAAAAAATATATGAAAATTCGTGAATGTATTTCCAAGATTATATTGATTATTTTTCATTCATTTATTTATTTATTTATTTATTATTAATGCTTTTAACTATTAATTATAAATAGTTGTGTTCGAACGTGGTGATAAAAATGATAATTGATTTAATCCTATAATAACTGTTTCTAAGTAATGCAACAAAATTGCAGTTTTTATCTTAAATCTTAAATATTTATCTTCAATCCCGCAAAAGATTTTTCAACATTAGATAAATAATTTTTTTATATATCTGTTAAATTGAATTTTTTCCTTTTATTAAAAGCAAGTGTTTGTTGTTTTCTTCATCTCATTTGAATAGAAGAACAAAATGAATTTATTTAAGCTTATCTTTATTTGCAAGATTTTTAAGATGATGACGGGCTTTCTTCTTATCTTAAAATTTCAAATTTTAATTTTATCTATTTACGGAAATTTACTTTCTTCTTCAACAACATTGTTTTACAATTAAATTTATTGTCATTATGATTAAAGATAATTAAAATAAAAATGTAACATAAATTGAAATATCGTAAGAATGTAAAAGTTTTATTTTACTATAGTCTTCAAAGCCTCACCTTCACTAAAAAATCAAAAATTCGGGCATAAATATCCTTTGCGAGAGCATCTCTGGCAAATAATGATTGCTCAACATTCAGTGTCACGTCCACACTTTCCGATTGACTTCCCCATTTAGATTCGAATTCGCGAGAAGTCAATTTATGTGACAATTGTTCCGGCGAGATACCAAGAAGAAAGGCTGGGAAGTCGAGATCTGTAAGGAAGAATTAATATAGTAATATATCGTGAAGGTATTAATTTATTTATTTTCATTTTCTAAATATTTGAATATTTGAACATCTATTATTTATACAGTGAGATTTACGTATTCATAAATCAATTTCATTATATAATTCAAACTATTATATCTTTGTATGAATATCAATATTTAAAATTTCTTTTAATATTCACTTTTAATATTTACAATAATATACTAGACGATTAATTCGTTAAATTTGAAATCAATGATACTTTTTTTTTTTTAGTTTTTGCAAGTATTATATAAAGCTTTTATATAAAGATTTTTAACAGATGATGTATTTATAATTTAAAATTAAGATATGCTTTTATTAAAATTACATAAATAAGTTTTTTTTTCTTGTATCAATAAATATATCAATAAATATATATTGATATTTAGTATCGAATTGTTCTATCAAATAATATTATGGCTGATCCATTAATATAGCTTTAATCATATATTAATTTTTGTTACATTACTACAATATATTTACAAAGTAATAATTTTGAAACATAATAATAAGCCCAAAGGCTTAGTGTTTGAAGTGCCAACATAACCTAACAATTTTCATCGATATTTTCTTGATTGAAATAAACAAAAGCAAATGTAGTTTTTATGGACGAATTATGAATTACTACTCAAAAGCATTTCTACATCTGCACGCGCTTAATTGTAGTTTACATGATTTCGTATGCTTAAATTTTTAAGAATATTGCTTACAATCTTTATCAGCGACTTGAGAATAATTTCCTTTTTCTATAAAGTGTATATTTCCTATATGTAAAACTCCAGCGACGAGCCTTAAAATATCGGTAGTTTCTGTATCTTTTATAGCCATAACCCTTAAAGCTGAAATAAAAAAGTTTTATTAGCGCAGAATATGTTTTTTTTCTCAAACGTATCTATTGTAAATAATACTTATACAGAGTATTAATGTTAAGTTAAAAAAAAATTGATTTTCTAATGGGCAAAAAATTTTGCTGAAAAATGAATATTAACATTATTTCTAATCTATAATGTATATTTTAACACATTAATGTTGCGATTACAGTTTTTAAGTAATTAATTAATTAGTAATATTATAAACTATAAATAATGAAACTAATGGTAGTTTACCTTTCAACGTATCTTGAAAATCTCGAGCATCGTTTGTCCCATCGACTTTGTGATTTCCTCCGTACTTTAAATAGTTGTAATAGTCTAATTCCATAAGACCAAATTCAGCTAGAAACGACAAATAAAAATGTTAATATTTTCACCACTCAATTATTCGTAATTTAAATAACTTTATCAATTACTTAAAAACATTAGAAAAGTAGTTTTACAATAAAAATACATGATATATCAAAAATAAATCTGAGGAGATATATTTTGTTACATAATAATTAAATTAATCAAAGATATTTGAAATTTCGTTATTGACGTACAACAAAGCAGTAAGAGATTAAATATTTTTGACTTACACTTCATTTGGGAATTTGCTCCTGTTGCTAATTGGTAAAATATATGAAAATTTCGCTCCCCTGAATTGTGACACGTAACTCTTGACTTTTCTAGTAAAAAATTAGATAATTTGCCACCACTTGGTTGTCCTCCTGCGTCGAATCGCATTTCAACATATTTCCCCTGAAAAAAATTAAATTAATTAATTAATTGTATCACATTTACGGGAATATATCTGCAATTATTTACCCCAAATAACTTTATTTGTACATCAAATGTTTCCTTATCCTATATATAAGAATCAACCGCATCATATTAACTCTTATTATTCTTATCACGTTTCATAAAAAACATAAAAAAGATAAAAAAAAATGTTGACAATGTTCACACATATATAATTAAGAAATTTTATATTTAATGTATTTATCATGCATTAACATTAATTGAATAAAACATACTTTTTCATGAATGCATCATCCACCGTTAAAATTTTTAATCTTTCATTAATGTCACCACAGCAATAGTAAACTATAGAATGTAGCCGAGAGAGAAAAGATTATTTATTAATGTAGTAATAAGTAATGGAGCTTCGATTGTTTATAAGAATAATATAAGAAATTGTGTGAGATCAAAGAGAATTAAAGTTCTGAAGATTGTCTAATGACCTTGCAGCTTAATAAATAATGACATTTTTGTTTTTGTTTTTTTGTTAATAATTTGGCCATTACGGCAATGCTTTAAAGTGAGCATTGTCATTGTGAGAATTCACTTGTTAAATTTAATGTGATTAAGCCAACGCTCTTGTCACACACGAGTAAAACGCAGGTGAACTTTGCCCTTCAAATTCTCTTTAAAAGCAAACGAGGAGAAAATAATCTATTGGCGTAAAGACAAATCTATATAATCATAAGAGCCCTACTTATGAATTAGTAAAACATTCTGAAAATATTTATTTCTATAAGTAAACAAAATTGATTTCAAAAGATTAAACACATTTGTAGTCTGTCATGAAATTATTAACATATGCATTACTTTGATTTAAATATTAATTTAAATATGATAAGAAAGATTTATGTTTATATATAAGAATCATTTTATATGACCATTTTGTTGAAAAAATCAATATTTATAAAATCACTCTCATCGCTTTCTCGATAATTATTAATAGATTTTGAATATAAATGTTATTTTAGACAAGTGCGAATGAATATATTTATTGTGATGTGAAACGCTATAAACGATTAGAAGCACATATTCCGTACATTTTTAAAAACAAAAATTACTTTATACCGTTAAATAATTTTCATTTTAATATTATCATTAAATAGAAATTTGATCTTATGTGAAATTTATCAATTTTACATAATAAAGCGAAGTCATTAGTTGTTATTCATTCATTATTAATAGATATAATCACTAAATTATAAATGCTGCATAATATGTATATAAACATTATTTTTCATTAAGTATTAAATTAAAGAAATTTTTTTCAGACAAATATAGCCAGTATAGACTAAATGAAAAATTTTAAATGCTGCTTTCTTAAAATTATTAGAATTCAGCCGCTGATAGAATATTCGAAAATCATTGTCGAAAATCGTCGTCATTGAATCTATTTCACATAAAGTCGAGCTACGTCTAAGAATATTCTACCGAGAATTTCCCCTCTTCAATTGTTCCCTAATAGGTTTTACGATTCAGCTGCAGTGTTTCGAGGGAATTTCATCGACACTTACAAATCTGCTGCTGTTGTTGTTCCTCACGGTTTTCGCATTGCCGAAGGCTTCCAGAAGCGGATTGGACTCGAGTATTACGTCCTTCACCCTCTGCACCCGCTCACCACCGCTGCTCACTCTTGCGACGTACGACATTATGTACTTAGCTGCCACCGTCTTTCCCGCCCCAGATTCGCCGCTACGGAAGACCAAGACAAGTGTTAATAGCCTACGTGTCAATGCGCTTTTATCGGCGTCAAATGTAAAATGTCGGTGACAAGCCCTCTAGCCCAGTATACGCTAATCCGCTTATGGAAAAAGTCAATAACCGACTTCAAAGTAGTTACGTCCTTTGCGAAGAAGTGATTTTATCAGTTTACCCCCCCCCCCCCCAAGGCTTTTATATTCCACCCCCTTAACTGCCTTTTAAATTATTTTTATTACATTACATTATATTGGTTAAAATTTCAGGTTACCGTGTGTTTGCATTTATCCCTGTAATATCCGTATTTATTGTAGATTCGATTGTCCCATTTATAACAATAAACATTTAGAATTTCAATAATTTATATATGATCGATTGACTAAGTCCTAAGGGAATTAAATGTATGTACAATATTTTAATCGCAACATCTTCGTTTGAATTTCTTTCATAAATTCAATATTTACTTGGATATTTTGAAATATAATTGTCAGGATCCTTCTAAATTTGAAGATGAAATATATTAAAATTTTCCAACATATCGGTCATCGGTAACTTCTTACATTCACTAATAAAATAACAATAAAATACAATCATCGTTTAATTCTGATTGGAAATAAAGTTCAACTATACCTGATGATGACGCATTGACTTTCGTTGTCAATTAGCATATTTCTGTACATTTCGTCGGCAAGTCCATAAATATGTGGAGGATTCTCGTAAGGTGCCTATAAATACATATACATTATATTATTATAATAATATAACTCGACTAAATCATTATTTTAAAGCTTAAAACTAAGCTAATCTCGAGGATCCAAACTTAAAGCCCTGCAATCTAATACGTGATTCACGTATGTGTAAGGAATTGCAGTCTTTAAGGGGCTGACGAAGTATAAAACTTATATTTCAAAGATATTTTAGATGTGCGCGCGCATGCATTCGTGTAACAATTTTCCTCATTTCTATGCATGAAAATATTTGCTTGAACGGACTTTCTCTATGCATGAAGTATATTTATTCGACAATTATTTGTTACTGCAATGGAATATCACAAATTAAATTATATTAAATTGAACGGTATAACTGTATTTTTATTTTTAAATAACATATAATTCCCAAGTAATGGATAAATTAAAAATAAATTATTAAAGAATTCATGATAGAAATCCCAAGAATTTGTTATCAACCACTTGCTTTTTTGTTAATTAAGTAGCTTTAAAATTAAAAGAACTCACCGCTCCCTGGTAAATTTCAATTTCCTTCTCTCCGAAGTACGGCATCTGCTTGAAAGGATTAATAGACACCAACACGGGACCAATACATGTCTAACTAGCATTAAGGAACACTGTATCAATAATCGCATCAGTAGGGGTATAAAATCTATATGCATAAGCATATTGAGAACCTTAATTTACAATATTTACAATACAGATAACAGATTTAATGAAATATAATTTTTGCCATCAACTTGTTTGAATCGTTGGTTAAAAAAAAAAAAAAAAAAAAAATACACTATATATGTATGATTGTTCCTTTAAACAAACAAAAAATACAGATATGCTCCAATGATTATAAAAAGTCCGATTTTAAAATTTTCGTAATTAAGTTCTATATAACTTTTTATCTTATTGGACCGATGTAATAAACATATTTAATAACAAAAGTTGAAAAACAAGATTTTTTGAGCACTGATTGCTTATGATGAGTTGAAATTAAAAAAAAAATATATATATATATATATATATATACATATATATCGTTCTCACTATACGAATCACTATAAGTTATTATTATTTATTTACTTATTTATTTATTCTGTTATTATTCGTTGTTTATTTTATTGTCTTTTCATTGGATATTAGTGAAAATAAAAGGATACAAATATATAATCATCCATATATCGTTTTCGAAGATTTTCAACAATGGCTTCCTCGCTGACCTTCGGCAGCAACACCATGTCATCCACACCTGACACTTTGACATTTTGACTTTGCCAGTGGTACACCTGAAGACGAAAGACGCAAGATGGTAAAATTATGTGGTTATTATATTTACTGTTATACTTAGATAATTTCATAAGATTAAACAAATAATTTAAATATTTCTGAAATCTTATGATGAAATTAATTGTCGCTTCAAGAATCCTTGAGTGTATCTCCAACGAAATGTGACCAGAGAATCATTTGTAAGCGTACTCAGAACAAAATTATAAAACAACTTTCAAAGGAGATTTCTCTTTAGGTTTAATGCGAGTCTTTTTAGACTGAATTAAGAGTAATTTTTTCGTTGAAGAGATCGGCGAGTTTCACACTTAACGTAAATGTCATCTCTTTATGAAAGTCAAAAAAATTATATTCTAAAGCCATAGCTTTTGATAATACATTAAATGAAAATGACGATATTATGTTAGATTCTTTGAAATAAAAATATATTTGAAAGTTTATTTCTACATAATAAACATGTCATTTTTTATAATAATTTACAATGAATATCGTTTTTACTTTAACTAAATCTTATGCTGAATTCAATCGTAATATTTAAATTAAATAACAAGGATTATAATCATCGTCGTTTGAGAGTAAAATAATAATAAATGAACTATCAATATAATAATTTTATAATTATCGCTTTTATTTCAATTTATATTACTCATTACATTTATATGTTATATATATATATATATATATATATATATATATATATATATCTATAAATCTATATATAAATATAGAAAAATCGTTAAATTTTAATATTAAAAAATTATCTAATTTAATAAGAATAATTTAATCTAACGAAAAAATTACTTTTAACATTTAAAACAATTTATTTAAAATCCTTAATTTCAAACTTGATGTATTTTACATTTTTAATAAAATTATTTGCATTCTAAAAATTGTTATAAACTTTTTGTCGCATTGCGTAAACTCTTATTATTTTAATATATATTTAACAAAGTTATTTACATTTAACAGCATATCATATTACTTAACCGAATTTGTGAATATCAAATAATTTATAATTATCTACTTTCTCTGCATTTAAAACTTATTTATATTTGCATTGCTTCGAAACATTAATTGCCAAACTTGCATCATAAATACTATTAATGCCATCATTTACTAACTCATAATATTCTCTTAATCTTTTATAAAACGAAGATATTTTTTAATTTAATAGAATCCTATAGAATATTATTATATAACATAATATAATAGAATATTTTCAAAAGTACATTTTAACGTACTTAAAACAATCGTTTAATTATAATGCAAAATAATAATGTTGTATTTAATAGTATTTTATATTAAGTAAAAATTTTATAAAAAATCCAAGAATGCTAAAAAAATTGTGATTTTATTTTTTATAATAATTTTTATACTTTCTAAGCCTTATACATTGTAATTTATAATTCTAATAAGCATGTATAAAATTGCAAAAAGATATTTGTTTTATTCATCACAACCATTTCAATTCTTCGTCGTAACTTTCATGTTTTCAAAAAAAAAATGGTATCTTATATTTTATTCGATGAAGAATTTATTTCATTATACAGTTATTTTTAATAAAAAAAAAATTGCTTTTTAGTATCAAAATTTAATAAAACATTTATTAAATTATTCTAAATATTCTAATAGAATTGTATATAATGCGTTGCGCGTATACGAGGTAAAAGATAGCTTTTACGCGTATATAATACCAGGAAAATGTTTGATAAGGGATAAATTTATTATTATATTGAACTATTTACTACATAGTAAGTGTTATTATATTTTTATTTTAATAGTAAAAGGACAATCATAAAGATTTATTTGATAAATTCACCGTTAATTTGCCAGCTACACTATGAATTCAACAGTATTATAAATTATTCATAAATTTTATGAATATAATATAACGTAGATGAAAAAATTTTTTTTTGACATAATCTGTTTAAAAGACTACTTTTATTTTTAACAAATTAATTGTCAATTTTTTAAAATCTTATATTCATTAAAATATCCAAGTAAGAAAGTCAGTAATAGCATGATTGTTTATTTTTAACAATTGTTCGTAAGAATGTAAGTGTTGCTTGAATAAAGTTACAAGTCTATTTAAAAACCCGTTCATTTCTTTGAAAAACTGTTTTAGTAGAATAAATAGAAGTAAATTCAAATAAATGGTTGAGTGAAGTATGTTATTTTGATAATCTTCATCTGGTGAAATATAAAAGGCCAATTTTTGCGCCTACACAGATCTTCGTCACGTCCGCCCTCGCATCGTAATTGCTCTGACAGCTCATGTGTATTAAGACAAATAAAATGCGCCGCGTCTAGGCCTACGCACTTTTCTAAGACGTCCATAATCGTTAGAGAGAAGCACTTTTTCTCGCCCATTTCTTATATGGAAAAAGCATTAATTATTGGTCTTGCAACTTAACGGGATGTTGGCTACGAATATATTATCTTTCATTATGAAATCGATACTCATACGTATGATAATGATTGATTGATTTGGAGAAATTGTTTATAAAGACGAATAGTGAGATGATATCAAAGAATGAAATTCCATATGGATATTAGAAATCAGTGCCTTGGGTTTCCTTAAATTTTATCCTTTCTCTATTTTAATGAATTACCCACTCGCGCGCGCGCGCACACACAAAATAATAGTTTATTATTTAATTTTGTGGCGAAATTATTTCGATCATCTTATAAGTGATGAATACCGGAATGAATTATATCATCTATATAAAAAAAAAAAGAAATTTCTATACAAATAGTACGGCATTAATTTAAATAAATTTAAAATAATAATTTTTTTTCTCGACATCCATAACTGAAGATAGAGAATTATGAGTATCCTAGTGGGCGTATATAAATAAATCACTTAGAAAATTTATGAGTAAATAATCTATAGTGTTAATTTTTAATGGACGTTTACAAATAGCGAGGATAATAAAATATAAGGGGAAATTTGTTAAAATTCAAATGCATTTAAATATTTAAAAGATTATTAAATATAATTATTCTAACAATATTCAATTAATAAATAAAAATAATTTCTTTTTAAAAAAAATCTTCTTCGTTAAATTATATTTTTTCTTTTATATTAAATATTGTCGATCGATCAAAGTTCCTTGAATTTAAAATATCAATGAAAATAAGGGAAATTTTTGTAAAATTATTAGACACGAATGTCGTTATTGTAACGTAGTATATGATTTATATGCGAAAGTATTACTATACAGTGACAAAGAAATATTCATTTTTCTTAGAATTAAAGTCTTGGTTATTTCGAATAGGCCAATATTATTTGAATTGGTAAGATCCGTCAGAAATTGCCACTTTCAGACGAGTTTATATCGACGATGGTGTCCCGTGCCTATTTTAACTTTTAAGCTTTCGAATTTCAATACAAGTGTCATTTATTTATCAAATATAATTACAAAACTGGTAAAGTATAATTCGTCAAATAAATCTAAGTCTATGACTCGGTTTACCAGAGCATATTTTGTGAACCGGTAAAACGTTTTAGCAATGCGCGTATTAATGTTTATAGAAACCCATTAAAAATATAAGAAATTACCAGCTATTGCAATAGCCATTATGAAAATTGGATGAAAAACTCGAGTGTTTAACAGCAATTTTTATTCAACGACAACAATAATTCTATCAAAATAATTGACCATATAATTGTTTGAATACTTTTCATACAAGGCGTATCCAATTAAATGACAAATATAGATTTTAAATTTATAATAAAATGTACAATGTAATTAGTGTATGAAAATGTATTAAATATTTATTAGAATATAGTTTTAGGTAATTTTCGCACAAGTGCTGGTTTTAGTATTGACATAAAAAATCTAATTGCCAATTTATAGAAAGTTTTTATGATTATTTATAAAAATGATTGATATTGGTGAAATGTAATAATTGTTGATTTTATGCATTTTGAATAATGCAGCGTATAAAATTTGGAATATTTTATGCCCAACCGTTTAAATGCTACACATGTATGCAATCCACATGCATGTATACAATTCCTCGATATTCCACATTTCAAAATTTCAATGGCCAAACAATATAATAAAGAGAGAGAGAGAGAGAGAGAGAGAGAGAGAGAGTCGCATAGCTTCGTAATATAAAGTAGTTGTATTCCAGTTGCATATAAAAATAATTTAGAAATTTTAGAATTTTTTAATCGCATAGACAATTTGTTTTTAAAATTGTATTTTATAAATGCTACAATTGTGTATGGAATCTCATTTTCTATTCGAATCATTAAATAAAGTACACCTAAATTTTTATCTTAAACGAGATAAATTAAGATAAATATGATAAATTAAGTTTTAATTAGCTAACGGTAGATAATAAGATTGCAAATTAATTGTAATGTGAATTACTTGGATTATAAATAATCTCAATATTCATTGTTAAATTTATCATTATCTGTGATTAATAATTATTTATATAGATTTTTCGGATAAAAATGCGTCGCGATATATATTGGTTGGGAAATAATTATAATTCCGCTGTCAACTGAACTATGATAATGACTTTCATTATCATGTGTATTGTAATAAATTAATGGGGAGTCGGTATACCGATTAAAGCTTCGGAGCGATAAATAAAATTACAAAATATAATGCGATATTGCTGAATTCAATGACGTGTAACAAAGAAATGAGTACACCTCGAGTTGTCGTACCGTTATGCCTTCCATTCATTAGCATTAGCCTCGTTTTATGTAGACCTACGACGATTAAAAATTACCTATGAAATCAGTGCTAATGATTATGAAGTTTAATCGTTTAATCCAATCGTTTGATTTATTGTTTTAAGGAAAGATTTAATGAGCAATGCAATCGTCATTATTACTCAAAGGACCGAGTTTTTGTCTGTCCTGTTCGAAGTAACGTACAATGCTACAAAAATTAGTAAAGATATTTAGAATATTAGATGTATGATAACGATTAGGCTTAACAACATTACTGAAATAAAGATTAATCCTCAAATATAATCG